CCATTCTTCGCGTCGATCCTCCTGAGGCAAAGCATTCTACACGTCGGATTTATTCCCTGTCCCCTATTCTTATCCTTTTGCTTGCACCACTGAAGACACATTTCATCCCATTTTGGAGGCTCCTCGGGTTTATGATTACTTTCATTCGGTGACGGTGTTGAAGTAAGATTTGTTAACGGGTTAATGTAGATATTACGAGAATTTGTTCGAAAAATGAACAGCGGGGGAGTTAGTCGAGGGGGGATTGATGATTCTGTTGAATCGGTATCGGTGTCTGTGTCGGTGTCGACAGGGGGTTGTGCTTTGGCGTCTTCGTTGCTTGCAGGCGAAGTCGATGAAGGTGAAGTGGGATCAAAGGGTGACTTTTCGGACGAAGACATAATTAAGGTTTTGGATCATGCTTATCATGATCGGTCAATTTTTTTTTAATAGTGTGATGATCCAATCAAAAAAGTATGCATCATAAATTTTGAGGCACTGCATCTTTGGTAACACAAAATCAAAATGCTAGAAACTTTATTATTATGCGTTCTTATATGGACTCTCCTTAAAACCCTCCCGTCCCATTATGTCACTCTTTTTAAAACGATAACCTTTATCTGCACAATGACAGAAGTTCATACTTTACAAGTCAAAAGTGGAAAAACCACCAACAGTCTGACCTTCAAAAACGATGTTCTCTCACTTGGTAATGAAAGAAAAAAGCCGAGAGGCTTATCAAATTTCGTTTCGTAACAGACTTTACATAAATCGTATCTTAATGCTCCTTTGTACACTCTCTATTGGTTAAAGGCAAGCGTATCGACGTACCATCTAGAAACATTTTAGACGTTACTTTAAAAACCTCTTCACCAGAAAGTACTAATGTACATGTCGAAATTCGGGCTCTAATTCCTAGCAAAAACAACAAACTGAGGTTATATTGTCCAAGCTATGAAGTGGTTGAACCGACATCGGCGACTCCGTGGGTTGAATTTGTTAAGAATGTCGCGTATAAAAGTAATTTCTCACTTTTGAATTATCACCGAATATTTGATTTACCGCACAAACGCCTATTACATATATGTATGTGTATTCTTTTCGATTTCTCTCAGAGGCGAAACCGTGCAAGCGTTTGATGGTATTTATCAACCCCTTTGGTGGTACTGGCAAGGCAAAAAGAATTTTTGACAGGGACGTTAAACCGATTTTCGATGCTGCTGGCTGTACATACGATATAATTGGTGAGTAACCTGTTGAATGTGAACGCTTACGTGTTTGTCAGGTGGTGATATGACCGTATTTTTCTTATTTTTGATAGTGACCGCACATAAAGATGACGCGAAAGAAAAAATTACTGAGGCTCCTGAACTCGAAAAGTATGATGTAATAGTTGCAGTAAGTGGTG